AGTGAGGAAAAGTGGTAACGGAGTTGAGGGCTGGCTCCTTGTTTTCACCCCTGAAATAAGAAGGGCACAAATGCATTTATCCTTCCCCCAGCATGTAGGGGCGGGGAGGGTCGGGGCATTCCAGCAGCTGCTGGTGAGTATCCTGGAAACTGTCTCCTATTTCCTAGTCCTAGCCCCTTTTATGAAGGAGACAATACAGACATACAGTGAGTGCCTTGTGCATCACTTGGGCCCCCAGGCCCTTTGACAAGGGGATTTTGTACAGTGGCTAACCCCCTCCCTACCTTCCCTGAGGTGCCCCCACACCCAATTCAGGGGGCTTCAGCCTTGCCTTTTCCAGGAGGATCCAGAAAAAAATTACATGCCTTATTTTCTCAAGAGGTTTGAGAGAAATATGTGTAATGTGATACCAGGGAAATAATTCAGATAGTTCCAGAATTTACCCATGGATGTTTTTTAGTTTGTTTACCCAGGTCTGTTCTTCATCATTTATCTCCTGCTTTCTTATACCCAGTCCCTTGCCTACCTCTCCCCAAGGGTCCCACAGGACCTGCGCTTCTTCCTGCTCCAGATAAGAAGCCATCTCCATCCAAAGTGTTGCTTAGCTTTCTTTGCTTGTTCTGTCTTGATCCAGAGGCACAAACTCAGTCAGGTGATTTGGAGGCATTTGCCATTACAATATCCTAGTGTCTTTCTTTGGCATGCTGTCAGTGATACTGAGCCCATTTCTAGGTTGAATTATAGAATCATAGAATTGACTGGGTTGGAAGAGACCTCCGAGATCATCAAGTCCAACCCTTAAGAAGGAAGAGTACAAAGCTGATGAAATCAGTTATTTATCATACAGAGAGGAAAGGTAAGAGGATCTGTGCTCTCCAAACAGAAGTAGCTTGCCAGTTGGGGTCTTTTGTTGATGATCCTGGAAGCCCCCACTCCATGCTTAGAAATTGCTTCTCTTGTGCCGTTTGTCCCCGTGACACAGGAGCAGCACAGCAGTGCAGGCTGGCCCTGGCTACCATAACCATAGTCCACTGGCCCAGCTCTACCTCCCCTGGGCCTGGTGACACGTGAGGAGAGGAGACTTTGTGCCCCATGAGTGCTGAATCTCTCTGTACGCAGTCCTCTGTATGCATTAGCACAGGGGAGCACACGGATTCAGGCAGCCCTCGTGTAGGTGCTATGCAAGCTCTTGGTGGTGCCAGAGGGAAAATTAGAGTATCTCACAGGTGTGTTTGCAGTCTTGGTTCAGTGCTAGCATCCCTTTCTCAAACAGATGCTTTCCAAACACCTAGGGGTATGAACATTTTACATGGACTTTCTGTGAATTAACCTTATGGAGGTAATTAGAGGTGAATTAAACATTTATTTTTTCCTTGCTGTTGTTAGGGACACACTCCATACCTAAGAGAAGATTGCGCATATACTTCCTCCAGCCATGGTCATTGAGGCAGACTGGGGCTGGTTTACAGAATATCTCTGGAAAATAAGCTTCTATTCTTTCTAGATTACTTCATAAGAGGTATTGGGTTTCCCTGTAATCATGTCAGACCTGAGGCAGAAAGCAGAAGTTTTGTTTGTCTGATGCCTTTGCACCCAGAAAATATGTTCTTCTCCAGAGCATGCAGCTTCTTCATCAGAAAAAGAGAGGGGTTCAAGACAGGCTTTATTCCTGAAAACCAGGTCAGACCTTTTATGTTTATTATGATGCTTCCTCCTTCCCAGTCAGTGTGGCCACATTTAAATGGATTGCCTAGCACTGTAAATCCCACCCAGGAACTTCTCCTGAGCGTGGCTCTGCAGTTTTTTTTTCAGTAAAAACATGTTTACATGCTAAATTGCCGACATCACAGCAACCGCACCATCCCATCTGCGCCCTGCTTAGCCAAATTATAACTCTGTGCTCTGCAAGGCTGAACATCTGACATGCTTTAAAATAAAGGGGCAGCCAGCCAAGTGGTGGTCAGTGCTGAAAGCCGCCCAGGAGAGGCAGTGGGTTTGTGTGGCCGGTGCCTTGTCCAGTGTCCGGAGTTGGGGGGTGCTACACAGCCCCCCTCCTGGGGAGACGAGCTGCTCCTCTCATCACTGGCAGTTGGCTGTGCTGGAGGTGAGCCAGGACAGTTTTTAACTGGTCCTCTCAGCACCACTTCTCTTCTGCACTACAAGCAGCCTAAATAACTCTGCAGCAGACAAGTCCTAGGCAGAGGTCCGGAAGAGACTTGCTCAGGTGGTTTGGAGGCAGAAGGCATTTACAAATGTCTTGTACTGTCATGAGACTGCCAGAAACTTCCATCTATCTTCCTCATGCATCCCCACCAGAGCAGCATGGTCTTCCTTTTCTCCATCTCACATCCACTCTAAGGATCAGAAGCCATTTCATGAATTGTGCAGAACTAACCAAAAGACAGATCCCTCTCTTACAAGGTATTTATGATGCTTCCACAGCATCTGCAATGATTCCAACTTGCTTAAAATTTCAGGGGATCCATAGTAATGCTAAGGCCATTTTTCATTTCAACATGATCACCTCTGCTGCCCAGGGGCTCCAAAACCCCAGGTGTGAATTGAAAGCATCACTCCATCCATTTCAGAGAAATTTCAGTAAAGAATGTTTCATTCTTACCCTGGGCTGTGCCAAAATGAGGGGCGGACCAAAATATTTTGCTGCAAATTATTTAGCACCTGTAGCCTTCAGAGACACTCGGAGCAGATTAAGTCTCTTGGGGAACTGTCTTGGAATGAAAGTGATATATTGTGCTGTTAAAGGAAAGTTACCTGAGACACTGGATGAGAAAACCTGTGTGGAAAGAGGGATAAGACAGGGACGTCACATGATGTCCAAGTTGAGGACCCTTGCTCCACTCCAACGACACCTAACACTGGATGTGCCATCTATATGACTATAAATGAGCACAGCCAGTACTGTAGAGATGAGAAAGAGGATTTTTTTTTTAACTGTGTGAAGGCTCATTTCCTGGACCAAGCAGTGGAAGCGTCTTTGCTCCATCTGTACCGGGCTGAAGACTGTGGTTAATCACACTTCATTACAAGCTGGAGCAAAGCAGCACCAAAGAGTTTGTAACCAGCTGGTCGGCAAAGAGGAGAGGCCATAGAGGCAGGAAGTGTGTTTCATAAATGTGGGTAAGGAGTATATATTATGAGCATGCTGGGAATAAAAACAGTGAATAGTGTGACTCAAATTTCAGACCAGTTCCTGTGGGATCTCTTAAAACTTATTTCAGTTTTTAAGGAGTCACTGGTTACAGCAATATCCCCAATGTTTAGGAGTGAGGAATGTTGCCAGACCCTCTAGAGTCATGCCTCCAGAAATTTAGTGGAATTATTAAGTGCATTTAGAGTTCCTGTTTATTGTTAGAGGCATGATGTCTTAGCTTGTCTGCTAAGTTGCTTTTTTTCACACAACACCCATACATTAAAAAAAAAAAAAAAACAAAGAAGGAAAAATGGCCAGAGCTCTGCTTTTTATACTGGACAGTGGTTGTCTAAGTCACTTGGTCTTGGTCACACCTGGCTGCTATGTTGTCCCTCACTGACACCTCTGCAGAAGTCTTATTGGCACATTATGCTGATAGATGGGCTGTCTGGGAGGGGAAGCCTTCAGATATCCTCATTAGAATGAAGCAGAAAACTTTTGACAATTTTTATGTCTCTTTCTATTAAAATGAAAACTTTTTACTTGGTTTTGAGCCAGAATGACAAAACAAAACAATGGGGTTTTTTATTTACATTTCACATTTCTGGGGAAGGGGAGCATTCAGCTAGAAAATGGTGTGTTTCAGCCATGGGGAAAATTGCCTTCCTACTTTTTTGTCTCTCCTTTTTTTTATTGGAACAAATAGACACAGTAAAAATGTGAGCCAGCTTTTTTTTGCCTTTTTTTTTTTTTTTTTTTGCTAATACTATAAAATAGGGAGCAAAACCGGCTTCCCCTCATTTTCCTTTGCTTCTTTATTCTATCCTGTCTTTGCCAACTGGAAACAGAACCCGGAGTTACTTTGTGTCTGGAAACAGCTCTTGCAGGGCTAAACTGTTTTCATGTTTTCCAAGTAGAAGAGCCTTTTGGAGCCTACATGGCCTTCTTAAAGTTTATAGGGGAGGAGGTCTGAGAAAATAAATTAATATTTTCTTCTGTCAAACTTGTTTGGAGAGTGGAAGAATTGGGAAGAAATATTTATAGGGGAAATTATATTAGCAATTTCCCCCATGACTAATCAATATAAGAGGCATTATACACAAATATGAATACAACAAGCTTAAACTGTCTGTCTTTTTCCTATGTTTTCTTCTCCAGCACTACTGTCAGCCCTCCCCTCTCATGAACAACTGATGCTTCTGAAAGTGCTTTGTTGCCTGCATAGTGTAGGGAGCTAGGAGCAGAGGTGCTGCAAAGTGTATGTCCTTCTCACAGCAGTGTTCAGCTCCAAGCTGAACAGAGTTTCTCAGTTCAGGAGAAGAGATCCTTCATTAGTGACACTGTAGATGCAGTTACAATTTCTCTAAATCAGTAGCAGAAAGAAACAGAACTGAAAAGCAGCTCTGTAGAGAGAGAGCATGAGAATAGGCTTCACAAATACTTCAGCTGTGATGACAAAGATCCTTGCTCAACATCAGAAGAACCTTCTGATGCCATGCCATGTGTTGCTCTCCTTTAACAGAATAAAGATGGAATATTAAATGAAATATAGCAAGGAATCATTGATTAGAATTGTTCTCTGGAAAAGATTAGGAGACCACTTGGATTTCAGTTTGAAAATAAAATGAAAAACTAACAAGCCTTGAAGGAACTTTCCAATGTGGTATTCATCTGGCTTGGCAGGTTTCTCTTGGAGAACAGAAAGCTGAAAGAAGATAGGAGTTAGGGAAACATGCTGTGACCCAAATAGAAATTCTTCATCAAAAAGGGAAATGCAGAAGCAAAGCAGTATGTAATGAAAGCCAAAAATCTAATTTAACCATGCTTGTCTCTCTTGTTTCTTCTGTAGGGCCAAGTATTTCCAGGGGAAGAAGGTGAATGGAGAATTTGATATCCGAGTGGAACAGGTCAGTGACAACTGAATTTCCCTCTAAGAAATGTGTGCACAGGGCTGAGGTCTTAAGAGAGATAATCTGTCAATGTAAATTCTCTTGAAGAAAGGAACTAATGAGGAATTTTAAGATATGTCCATTTTATAGAATTGTGGAAGCTGTAAATGAAAATATTGGGCCACCCTATCACCCTCTCTACCTTCTCAAAAGCAGTTGCTATTTCACCTCAAAATTACATTTGATGTTCTGGTGATAGGATTATAATTTTTTCCATTGGAAGACTACCTCATACTTCCATATATATGATTGAAAAGGTGGAAAGCCGGTATGCCACAGTACATACTGTTGCCAGAGTAGAAATTATTACTAATAATTGTCTATAGGCACCCGACTTGAAAGCAGTACTAATTGGGGCTATAAAACTGCTAGAGTGGATAAAGAAAGCTGGTGAATGTTGTTTGAATGACCTGATTATTCTTTTTATATAAAACTGTTGATTCTGCATTGGGTGTGTACAGATTATTAATGCAGTGGTTTTGAAGACATTCTCAGGACCCATTTCCCTTGTAAAGGTGTTTCTTCTCTTTTCAGAGGTGTCCTGCCCAGTTGTCTATGACTGTACATAAGTACATATGTTCTGATTAAACTGTGTCTGGGAGAGAAAACTTAGCAAGTAATTTTTTGCCACTACGATACTTCAGATACTTAATTTTTCTGGTTTTATTGATATCACACTTGTCAGTACTCAGTGGTATTAGCAAGAATAATTCTTTCTTGCACTTCCTTATCAAAATCTTTATTTTGCAGGCTGCCTTAGCAATTACCCAAAGAGAATAGGAAAAATAAAAAATAAAAAAAAATCATACTTCTCACTTAGAAGTATGAAATCAAATAATTTAGGTTTGCCCTTCAAGTCTCTGATCCAACCCTCTCCATCACTAAAAGAAGAGTTAGCTTCAAAGGTAGACCTAGTACTCTTCAAAATGACCTGTTAATTCTTCCCAAAACCTCCTGTCTCTGCCTTTCTTCTCATAGTCCTTCTCCTCAAATGTTATTGCACTAGAGGTCCTTATAAAAGAACTCTCTTCAAATGGTTGATGAGTGCAGGATAGAAGTGAACTCTTGATCGCTGATGGGCTAAACCCAGTTGTGGTCCTTGTCATTATCACAAGGTAACTTATTGCACTTCCCTGAGGACTTCCAGGGAGACTTTCCAGTCTACCTCTTGAAATCCTATACATAATCAGAATATCCATGTTTGAGAGGAGGCAACAATTAGCTCCAATAAAACCCCGTAAGGCTGGTGTGATTCTGCTGGTGAGGACCATGACCAGGCCCCCTGCAGCTTTCTTTAAGTACCCAACATAGTGACTGCAGCCTTGCCCAAGGGAATGAAGCCTGCAGTGGGTAATTGAGTGGCAGCTGAGGAATGGAAAAGAAGGATCCTGCCTGTTTCCCCTTGTCCCCTCCCTGCCCCTCAGATCAGCCAGCCCAGCCTCCACTTAGTGGGCAGGGAGCTGCTCTTGACTCCTCCAGACCTCAGAAGGAGAAAGGACGATTACTTTTCCCAGCTGGATCACTATCTGCCAAGGGAAACACAGAAGCTGCATTGTCATGGGCAGTCCTTGAATCTGACCTCAGGCCCCTTTGCTTATCACTGAGGCCAAGAGAGGGTCACTGGTTTCTTCAAGTTTTGGCTTCCTGTCTCCTTCTGATTTTGCCCATTCATCCTGGCTCAGTATTTTTTGATATCTAATTTTCATTCATTGCTCCTACCACGATTATCTGGAACCTTCTTAGCTTCTTCACCTTCTTCCTCAAGCACAGTCCAGGAACTTAAACTCTTGTGGAAACAGGTCCCCTGAGGCTGAATGCTGACCCTCTCTACCTGAAAAATTAATATTCTTCCACAATCTTTTATGGGAGAAAAAATGGAAAAAATCCCCAGGGAATAACTGTGTGTTTACCAACCTGGTGCACACCTTTTTCTTTGAGTTCCCAGTCACCAGTCTTCACTGCTGTAACTCCCCCATGAATGGCACACAGACAGTGCCATGATGCACAGACCCTAACCTTGCTGTTCAGTTCTGAAAAAAACTCTGCATCAGATCAAGGTTTGACTCTCAGGCATCTCCTGAGTCATTTGGTCTGCTCAGTAAGTTCATTTAGTTTTTCCAGTTTTCCATTTGATCCTGTTTCAGATAACCACACATTATTGACTGAGCCAGAAATACAGTTTGCCTTGGGCATTTATTTTGTATAGGAAAAAAACCCACTTTTGATCTGAAAAGCTAAATAACAAAGAATTTTGAATGGCAGAAAGCAATGAAAGGAAATATCCAAATGTTAAATACTCTTGAAAAACCACATTGGGGAAAAAGCAACTGCCCTATTTTCTCTGACCCTGCTAATTCTTTTGCCATTCTTCCAGGATGCTTTGTACTTGGTTTAGACTTTTTCTCCTCTTCTTTCATACCCATCTCCCTTACATCTTAATTCTTTCCTAGCAAGCCATTTGAGCAATCTTTGGGGGAAGCAGAGCAGAATAGTAGGTGATTTTTTTTTTTTTTTTTTTTGAAGTCGTGACATCATTTATTTGTAGTAGAGCAGTATTGCTGAAAGCAGCACTGTCTCTCCCTCTCTCAGCAGCGGAAAGTCAGTTATCTAATCTGGCTATACACCCCTACCAGCTCTCTGAGCTGCCTCTCCCCCTTGGCTGTGGTTTGAGGAATGCAAGACATATGTGGTCACTCTGTCTCATCCCACATATCTCCCACACCCAACACTGGAGAAAGCATTGGCTGATTTTGGATGAATTGGAGAAACAGGCAGAAGTTTCAAGATATTAAGTTTCTACAAGAGGTGAATTCAGTTCATACTGGGCACTGAATAATACACAGGGATGAGACTGTTCAGTGCCATCCTGCTGCTCGAGGAGTTACTTCTTCAAATCTCAGCCTGTATGAAAATAGGTTTTATGGACTCTCAGAGAAGTTTTTCTGGTTCTTTAGCAGATACATGAATTACATGACCTCGATAGACACCCCAGGCCCTTGTTCTTCACATCCATTACCCCTAGCAAGAGACAGGAGTTGCTGTGGGCATCACCTGGTGCCTGTGAATAGGAGAGAGAGCTGTCAGGGACACTGTGGTGGGTACATCCCTCTTCTGTCATTTGTTAAAATGAATCATAGAATCACAGAATATGCTGAGTTGGAAAGGACCCACAAGGATCATCAAGTCCAACTCTTAACCCTGCATAGGACCATTCCCAAGAGTCACACCATGTTCCTGGGAGTATCATCCAAACACTTCCTGAACTCTGTCATGCTTGGTTCTGTGACCATTTCCCTGGGGATCCTGTTCCAGCACCCAACTACAAAAGTGAAACCTGACTTCGTTCCCACCTTTTTTTTTTTCCTCTTCTAATATTCAGTGTAACATCAAAAGCATATTTATGAATATGTTTTAGAGGCTGCAGGATTTGTTACTATCCACTATTGAGTGAAACCCAGGCATGCAACACTATTGCCTATTTCCTGCTGACTGCGGGGAGAGAGGTGCAAAGCTGGGGAGGTGGAAAGCAAATGCAAGTGCTCCCCTGAGTCCAGGCCCCTTTTCTTTTGAGGCAGCTTGGATTGCATTTTGGTTATTTGGATATTTTTCCTCTACAAGTCCTTCTGTAGCAATGATGAAACTGAATGAAATGCTGATCCAAAACTGAAAATCTATCTGACCTATTCCCACTAAAACCCTCATGATTTAAGTTTTACTCAGTATGGGTAAACCTCTAAGCTTTAAGGAGTAGTTGAGTCTAAAAGTACTATCTATGTTTTATGCTAAAAATAAACTGCTTAGATTTTGATCCATTTGTTGCTTTTACTTGCCTTGTTATTTCTAGCTTTCAGAATTGCAGTGTGTGCATCTCCATCCATGTATCTAGAAAAACAAATGCTAAAAAATTCTTTTAGAAATGAAAAGTGTAAGTTTGATTAAATGGCTCTAAGGTTAACTTGAACTTAAAGAAGAATCTTAAAGGGCCACAGGAGTGGAACACATTGCTTTTAGTCTCCTATGAAAATAATTTTGCTTTTATCTTCTCAGTCCTTCATTGACTGGAGGATAGGAGACTTTTGGAACCACAGTATTCAGAGGAAGAGGAGGAATTATACCATAAGCCTTATGGTCTGACAAAGGTTTTCCTTCACTAGAGGCAATAATTCAACACCTTCTGGTAATAATTCAACACTTTATTCTCCATCCTCTCTGTCTTGTCCCAGAGGATCTGAGGATTTCATATATCTCTGGGGTTTCCCATACAGATCATAAAACATACCTTGTGTGGGGTCTCCTTGGTCACTAGATATGCCCCATGCAAAAGGGGAATGCTGCTTGGCCACGTATCCCCAGCACACCCAGAAGAGGGCAAGAGAGACGGGACTGAGACCTGGACAGCCACAAACCCATGGAATAGACCATGACACTGTGTGTGGGGGCTGGATGAGTGGGACACTTCACACCTGTCTGGGACAGAGATGTTTGCAAAGCAGGAGATGTGCAGAGCAGGGTCATTGGGATGTCCATGGAGATCTGGCTTATGAGAGAAGACTGGAAGTGTTGAGTTTGTTTATCCTGCCAAAACAGAGGCTAAAGGAGACATCACTACTTTTAATAAATACCCTAATGTAAGAGAGGGTCTCATGACATGATGCCTGCAGTAGCAAGGGGTTAGACAGGATGGCTCTGATGGGCTTTTCCAATCCTGTGCCCTACATGGAGCACAGACCTAGCATGCAAGAGCAAGCAATACCTCTTGAGAGAGTCCATCACCTTCCAGGAATGCTGTCTTCAGGTATTTCCAAAGGCATCTTAATATGTTCAGAGACATCTTTCCTGGCTAACTGATGGTGGAGTGGGGTGAAAAGTGTGAAAGGGAAGTGATGAGGTCAAAAGGTTCATCTACATTTTTGTTCACCCGTCTCCTTCCCACCATTTCCTGCTGTGATGAGGTGGGT